GCCCTTCTTCCTCTGTTTACTTCCCTACCTGGTAACCCTGAACTTTTTTGCCTGGCATTTTCACCAGTGAAAATGCGTAACTTTTGGAGAATAGTGAATATTGTTTTGAGAATTTGAGACAATTAGCATATATGGCTCAGCTGTGAATTGTGGAGGCTTTTCCTGGGGAGGACTTGCATTCAGACAGTGTTGCACATTGGTTTTCATAAGCTTATATCTGATTGGCTTCCTTCTCTTAACTTTAAGATTAATGCTGTGGCACAGCCGACCTAGAAAGCTGAAGCATATATGTCTGATCATGTGCTAGGTTAGACAGACCAGTGTGAATTTCACAAGCAAGTACATTTCCAGTTTCAAATTGCTTTTGAGAAATGTTTAAATATCTCTCGGTGTTATGTGGCGCCGGGGGAGATAAGTGGGCTTAGTCTGGGTGTTAATTGTGACAGCGTGTTGTGTGTTTTGAGCTAGGGAAACAAGCTGAGTGAGAGTGCTTCTGCAAAGGGCAGAGTTGTAATCCTGTGATCAGCGTGGCGGTCTCAAGCAGTCCTCCAAAGGGTCTAGTTGCTCCTTGCAAGTTTGTTTTAACCTTTATTGCAGCACATTGCCACTGTGCCTGCACAGCTGTGCCATATGGCTTTTGGAAAGGATTTACTCTGCACTCTGTAGTCCCAAGAACTGTTACAGGGTCCGGTGAAGTATCTGTTACCTACCAGCAGTGACAGGTTTACTTGGAGCAGTGAGGGGATGCGTTTAGTGAGCACACAAATGTTTGTACTTACAGATGCTATTCATTTTGTTCCTTTTTTTCTGATCATCCAGCGTATAGCTGTGTTATAAAAAGTTCTCCACGCTGGCTCCATGTCTTTCCTATTAGAACATTGCAGATGTGTCAAGGATACACTTGTTCCAAAAGAAGCTGGGAAGGAGGGAGGCTCCACCCTCCTCCGGGTGCCAAACGGGCCCCATAGGTTCCTCATTCAGCGGTCTGGCCGGCGAATGGTGTGCTATCTCTTTAAAGCAGCTATAGTTTTGTGTCTTGGCTTGGTCAATTTGTTATGGTTTAAAACTGTGGAGCCAGCTGTCTGCAATCTGATGTAATGTTGCTATGGAAACCAGAAATGAAACACTTAAGCATTCACCACAGAATTACTACATATAGCATTAGCCAAAGTAATTAAAAGTTGAGCCATATGGGCTTTCTGCTGGAAAAAGTCTGCAGAGGAGAGGCTGGAAATCAAATGTTTCTGTTTACAGTATTGGAAATCCACTTTTCCACAATGTTTGGTGGGATAAGTTGCCTTTTTCTCTTGAAGGTTTTCTGGTGAGGAGCTGTCTGTATGATTGAGCTCACCTTCTCGTTTAGAAGATGAGCTATTTAACTCTGACCCAGGGTGGGACAAGGGAGGGGAGGCCACACTATCTCATGTTTGAATGTGTGTGAATATATACTTTTATTTTTTAACTTTAGTTTATTTAAAACCTGTTCTATAATAGTGCTGAGCCTATTTCCTAAAATCAATCATTTATTTTATATACAATGCAGATTTCCTCTATCTTCTACAAAGTTCTTCACATAGGAAGATTTCTTTTAAAATATACATAGTATTTGAATTTAAAAATTATATATTTTTGATATTTATAAATATAAAAATTCTCAAGTCCCCATCCCTGGTGGTATATTTCCTGAATAAAAAGACGTGCTGTCCCGGCATGGTGGCTCACGCCTGTAATCCCAGCACTTTGAGAGGCCGAGGTTGGGCAGATCACCTGAGGTCAGGAGTTCAAGACCAGCCTGGCCACCATGGCAAAACCCCATCTCTACAAAAATACAAAAATTAGCTGGGTATGGTTGTGTGTGCCTGTAATCCCAGCTAGTCAGGAGACTGAGGCTGGAGAATCACTTGAACCCAGGAGGTGGGGGTTGCAGTGAGCCAAGATCGCGCCATTGCACTCCAGCCTGGGAGAGAGAGCAAGACTCCATCTCAAAAAAAAAAAAGAAAAAAAAGAAAGACATGCTATGTTATTTTCAGCATTTGGGAAGTGGAATATACTTAAAAAGAGAAATATGACATGAGGAATTCAAGATTTACTCTCCAGTTTAGAAGAAATGCAAGGCTTTTACAGCATTTTTCTGTTAAAACAGCTGGAGAGAATTTTTCAAAGGCAAATATTTCACAAGCCTTTTTTCTTCTGTACTCAGTAGGAAGTGAGAAGTCAACACCTCTCCATCAATATCATGGATGCAGCAATACATTCTTGGGATAGGTTGTTGAACTTAAGTAACTTCTAGCCTGACTTCTAGGAAAATTTCTGTTTCACACACACACACACACACACACACACACACACACACACACACACACATTTCTTGGATGACCTGGGTTTTATGTTGCATTTTTCTTCATATAAATTGTGCCACATCTATCTTGTCTAGTGTCCAAAACATAATCATGGAAAAGAAGGACTTGGTTGCCATGGTTTGTGATTTGTCAATGACAAACACCTCCAAATCTTGATTTTTCTAGAAAAATAAAAATAGCATTAAATCAAAGGCATAAAGAAGTATAATTCGAAGGTATAATTCAAAGGTATGTTTCTCAAAAATAAATGGAACTTGTGAAAACAATTAAATAAGTACCTGAAATATGTTATTTTTTGCCACAGTGAATCTGGGCAGAGGAAACTAGGACTTTATGAGGAAGGCAACACCTTTAAATCTACTGTCCTGGTTTAACTATTTTGATTTCTCCTTGGAAAGTTCACTCTACTGCATATAATGATTTGTGTCTTTGTGGACTAAAATTTTTGTATTACTTTTTTCTATACCCCATTTCTCTTCTTACTGCCCACTATCCCATGCATACACATACCCACACCACCACCACCAACCAGCAAACTAGGTATGAGGTATACACGTCAGTAATTTTCATCCTATAACACAGCTTCTTATATTTTGATTACAAACAATCTGTACCTATTGGATTTTCATTTGATTTCAACATTTTTAAATGTGAGGGTGAGAGACATATTCTGGGTTTGTCCCATTGATAGTTACAGAGACTTTCTATAACATAATGTTGATTATTCTTCCATTAGAATTGCTTGGCTTTTGAGCTACATCAAGAGGGCAGAATGTTTTTAAATGTTTATATGTAATTCCATGCGCTGTGGGTTTTTCAGGTGCTGGTTACCCAGAATGAGGGTTAACCAAGTTCTCATTCCTCTGGTTGACCGCTCCAGCCATTTCATCACACGTCAACAATCCAACCAAGTAGAAATGAAACTCAAACCAGACAATACCATTCTGTATTAGGAACTACACTTATTATTCTTTTTTTTTTTAATTTTCAGTTTTAAGCCTAATTGCCAGCATCCAGTGTAGCTTCTGCCCTGGGAGTCCAGTTCCCATTCTTTATTACCAGGTACCCAGTACTTAGCTTTAATTCTGACACTTTCAGGCAACATTTTATCTAGGAATTTTAGAGAAATTGGACATAGATATCGATACACTTTACAGAAGAGAAGTTGAGAAACACTTCTGCCTGGTGACTTGCTGATGTTAGGTTTATAGTTAACCACAAGTGGGTGAACAGTTTGCTGATAGTCATACGGGGAGAAAGTACCATGGCTCCATGCCTTGAGTTTCAGGGTGAGGACAGAGGCCAGGAAATCAGTTGTTTATATCCCTTACTATCCTTACTAATGTTTGTGCCATAGTGCAAAGAGGACTCACAACATGTACCATTTTTATGCCTAAGTAATGCATAGAAACTCTACCTCTTCTTCTCTTGAGGTATTATCTGCAACTCTTGCTTATCTGTTTTATTGTCTGTAACACTGAGATTAGTGAGAGCTTTTCTTCAGGAGAAAAAGTCTCTATATTAGACTCGTGTTCAGAGATGGGGCTTGTTTTTGTTTTGTGTGTTCGTTTGGGGCGTTTGTCTTCCTACTATTCCATGAACGGGGTTGGAGGAAATGGAGAGAAGGTTGTTGTCAGGACATGCGATGTGAGCTGGAATTGCTCATCCGCTGCACAGGGTGTGCCGAGGCGGCTGCTCCCAGGCATGCCCATGCACCCGTGCTGCACGCTCATTTAGCCGGAGACCTCTTTTGCTGTTTCACATTTTGAACAGATACAACAGAGGAAGCTGCATATTGAATGTTGGAGCTGACTTAGAAATGAAACCCTCATTTCCTTCACAAGGAAAGGATTGTTTTTAGCCTGGGTCACTGCTGCAGAGAGAGATTTTTTTCCCTCTCTCTGTAATGTTTGATACTTGAGGGAAAACAGCTGGGCCTGAGCATGCTGACTCCCTGCAAAGTGCAATGGGCTGTGGGGAATATGGACTGTACTGTATGGCTGAAAGGTCAGCCTTTTCCCTTGTCTCTCTTGGAGGAATGCAGGGTCTGTCCTCACATTCGCCTTGTGATCCCTTAGAAGGAGCCGGGAGAGGCGGAAGGGCTGGCTGCAATGTGGCAGACAGTCTTAGCCAATGGGATGGAAGAGGCTGTTTGCATCTCTTTCCCTTTCCTGCCCTGCTGTTTTTGATTTTTGGGGGAGGGCTGGAAAAAGTCAACAGAATTTTGGTTTGGAGAAGTAGTTGATGACCACGTTAAACAGCAAGTCCTGATGGGCCAGACAGATGAGAGCCTGACCCAAACCACAGCAGTGAAACTGGAATTACAGGGCCAGCATTGGAGGGAGAGTCCTGCCGGAGTCCTCCTAAAAGAGGACAAGGAAGTAGCTGAGACAGATGCCACCACAGGCCAGTTGAGGGCAAGGATGTGTGTTTCCGTGCCTAGGACCTAATTCTACCCCGAATTAGACCTTAAGATGGTATGTGGTGCTTTGTAAACCTCTTGGGTAAATTTGTTGGTTCCCCCAAGTTCAGCAACAGAGCTGCCGAGGATCAGACTGGCAGCAAGGCCAGCTATATCCAGCCGCACAGGCAAAGCTTGGAGCAATTACCTGATTAACTTTTCCTTTGTTTCTTTGCCAGTCAAGAGAACAATCGGATGATGAGACCGAGGAGTCGGTGAAGTTTAAGAGGTTACACAAGCTGGTAAACTCCACTCGCAGAGTCAGAAAGAAACTAATTAGGGTGGAAGAAATGAAAAAACCCAGCACTGAAGGTAAAAAAAAAAAAAAAAAAAAAAAGGCAAACTCCACCCTGGTTATTCCAAAAGAAATCATTTGGGGTCAGTTTCTCAGTAGAAAAGGGATACGATTTCAAGTGGAAAATGCATTGAGCTCTGGCTAAATCTGGCAGAACTGTGCCTGCCAGAAGAGTGATGCTCAGATGCGATGATGTGATGGAATGAAAGGTCCTGGTGTCAGGCGTTTGGGGTGCTTAGTCATTTAAATTTAAAAGATGGGAAATGGAAATTTTCTCGAGGTGTAGTGTAGCTTCATGTGTGAGCTTATACCATTTTATATAAACTTTCTAACTTTTTCACATGAGTCTCCAATCCCAAAAAGGACTATGGTTCTTGCTCAGTGAATTTAGATCAAATTTCATATATGTACATTTTGAAGAAATGCCTAATAATCAAAGCACCTAATATCCCTATCAGTTTCTCAGGGATGATTTGTTCTTCCTGTAGAGAGTCTCAAGTCTCAATTCAAATGGGGGCTTTAAGGACCTAGGATTCTAAGGGAATCTTTAAGACTTGTATTGCTGGAGTTAGCCAGGTGAAACAATAATGTCAAGAGACATCAACTTGGATTTATTGAAATGAATAGTTAGCCTTTGAAGTATAATTATGACAGTTCAAATCTCAACCTTATTCATCTCTCTTGTTAGTAATGTGCATTTGCAGTATCTTATAAATTCTCCCCAAAAAGGTAAAATTAAAAAATAAGATTTTTCTGTTTGAAAAATTATAAGAATTGAATTGGATAAAAATACTGGAAAGAATATGCTTTTAAAAAAAGCACATTACTTGTTAAAATGTCATATCTACATTGTGAGGAATTCCAAATTTTAACATGTAGGTTTTAAAATTATTTTTGTAGAGGCATTTTTGTTATATAGAAATAAAATAAAGTCATGTAAAGAAATGAATTTCCCCTTATTTGCAAAGATAAGGGTTTTTTGTTTGTATTGCTGCTTTTAATTTGTGTTTGCTATTATTCATGGGTTTAAATCCCTTAGAATAATACTGAAGCTAAGTGGGTAACTGTGAGAGAATGAGCATTAGAAGGGAAAAGAAAAACATAGGGAGAGAAATCAGCTTTATGGCCAATTTCGTAAACTAGGGTTGTTTTCAATTCTGGGGTTTCATAAGGGTATCTTTTTGCGTGGTAATTCTGTTTACATTTGGATACAATGCTGATTTTACATTTGGGTGTTTTAATACCTGCCCACCAGTTGTGAATTCCACAGTATTGAATGTACCCTGTGGTGACCGTTACTGCAATCAGACAGTGTCAGTTGGTACTGTTAGGGAGAACCATATGGGATTGCCAACATTCAACTTTAAGGGCACACTTTGTAACAAATCTCATGAACACTCGGCCAAAATCAAGTCTCAAATATAACAAATAGATGGGTGGGGTTCATCCATAACTGAGATAATGTGGGTAAAGTACCTAGTCCTGGGCCTGTTCCCCAGTGGGCCCTTCACACATGATAGTGGTGTGTTAAGGCAGCCTTTCCACTAGAATAACATGATTAAAAATACAAACATTGTAATTTGCATATTTATGTCAGAATAAATCAGTCCAACTATCTTTGAGAGGCATTGGTTGAAAAGGAAAAATATACCGAAAGGGGTAACTCTAGAGTAAAAAGTAATAACCATATGGAATTCTGGCTCTGAACTTTAATTTATCTGGGCACAAATCAGGCTTCACAGATGGAAGACGGATTTAGTGAGCTCCAATCCTAAGGTACACTCTGGCATCTGATGAGTCAGGGAGCTGAGTTGCCATTGGCCAAGCTCACCGTCTTCTCAGGAGAGGCCCCCAGGTGTGTGTGTTGCTCAAGGCGCCTGCTTTGGGTTACCTCCCAATTCCCCGCTAAACTGGAACTTCCTCCAACCCCTGCACAACAGAGAACTCTCTGAGGGTCCTCACTGGCAGTGGTACTTGGAAGAGGCTACCTTGGCCCCTGTCCATCTCGCAGAGCAGGAAGGATTCATACTCCAGGAGACACCCCCCCAATTCCCCCGCCCTCGGACTTACAAAGGGTTGATCCTTTAACTTCCTGCGTGCCTGTGCTAATACCAAGTTGTCTGCATGATAATTATCATGTATTGAGGGCATGCCACGTGCCGGGCACTTTCCCAAACACTTTAGATTTTATGTTCTCTTTAATGTCATCCTCAGAATAGCTACCAGAAGTAAGCACTTACACCATCCTCATTTCAGAAATGAGGAAACTGAGACTCAAAGAGGCTAAGTAATTGACTCCTGGCCACTCAACCAGCCAGCAGAAGGCCCAGCACGATGTCCAGGCAGCCTGCTTCCTGACAGCTGCGTGTTCTCACTCCGTTGCCACCTCTCTCCCCAACCAGGTCTGAAGTCCTTGGAAAGCCAAGAGAGAGATCAGTTCTTCACTCACTCTCACCCTTGCACCCTGGGTTTCAAGTCCTTATCCTGGCATGGACAACCCTGGCCAGTCTTTAATCTAAGCTACATCAGTGCCCTTTACCTGCCCATTTCTGTGTCTTTGCCGTAGAATGGACACCCTTCCTTCCCTCGTTGCTCGCACTCAGTTCTCTCCAGGAATGAATCAGCAGTTTTGTAGAAAGCTTTTCAGCTCATACAGCACCTTCACGTAACTCTTTTATGAGGATAATGTTTACTGTTATCATCACAACAGCTTTGCCAGGGATATTATGGAAAGATAGGTAGGCATTATTACAGATGAGGAAACAGAGCCTCAGAGCCAGGAAGAAATTGCCCAAGGTTATGGAACTGTGAGTGGCAGAGTCGGGCTGAATGCAGAGCATACCCCTGAGTTCCTGGCATTAAGTCAGCCCACAGCCTACCTCTCTCCTCCTGCCAAAATCACCTTGCCTTTGGTAAGCCAGTCTCAGCTGCAGAAGATAGATGGAGGCCTTCATGTGAAGGAAATCCCAGCAAATGTGATGGAGTGAGCTCATCTTGACGGTCACTCTTCCAGTAGGAGAGTTGTATGCTTAAGTCAGAGAAGGATGAGAGAAGACATGCTCCAAGTTCAAGCAGTCCAGGTCAAGGTTGGGATTCCAGGCCGCTGGTCAGGCCCAGTGCACTACAGCCTGCACTACAGGAGGCCTGCCCTCAGCACCAGCAGATGCAGCCTCTTGGGAAGCATTCACTGCATATCCCTCACAACCCCTTACCAGATGCTGACTTTCCTGAACCCGAGAATAGAGCTACATTCGTCATGGACATGCGTTCACCAGCTGGTTCCAGACTTAGATGTGACACCAAAGTATTGGAATCTCTGATGACAATCCTAAGCACAGAGCCCGGAAAATGTCCAAAACAGCTGCTGAGTGACAGATCCTTAGGATACGCAGGGTCGACTCACCTGAATTCTCTGAAACCCCTTAGGACTATGGGTGGAGAAGGGCCTTTGCACATCTGCATGGACACCTGGGCAGATGGTGAAGCCACAACCACACTCGACTTCTTTAATAGAGAAGTCCATGGTTGGGCTGCCCCTGCCACAGGTTGTGCCTCTAGTCTTGGCTCAGTCACTTCTTCTTGGAAGTGGAGGGTAGACTGTAACTAGAAGAGGTTGCCGTTTTTATTTCCAACAGCATAAGAACCCTTGGTCTTCACACCTTGTCAGTCAGGTGTCCTGAGGAAGGAGCGGGAAACTTCCAGGGTATTTGTACCCTGCCTCTGGGCTGGTGAATTTCTGTTAGAACCCCAAATCCTACCTTTAAAGTCCCCCTGAAAGATCCCTGATTCTTCAGGAGACTATGGGCCAGGCAGATTTTTACATCTTCTTTCCCACTTCCCACCCTCCCCACCAACGTCTGCTGGACATGAATGTAAAGTTGACCTTTGGTTGTATTTAATAGCAGCTGTTCTTTTTTTCGTTGTTGTTAGATTTGTACCTATAAATCCCATCAATTGGGAAAGTAAGCCATTTTTAGAATTTTAAAGGACTGCTGCCGTTCTTTCCCCCTCTGAGTTTTGCTCTGAACTGAGCATAGCTCCCCTTTTCTCTGACATTTACCACACACTGGCGCCCTCGTCCCAGCTGGTATATTTAGTGCCATCCTTCTGTTCCAAGGAACTTTTCCTTTTTTCCTCTTCACAATTCAGCGGGTGGAAAGCTGCAGAGCTCAAAGTTTCCCTATAATTAAAGGGACACAGCCAGTTGGGATCGCTACACCCACAGTTTGACCTACTTCTTTTCTCACATCTGTTCACATAACACATGCGGAAAAGAACTCGATTTTCCTGCCAGCAAGTCCAAACCTTTCCACTGGGCTCTGGAGGGCTTGGCTTGCCACCTGGCTCCAGTGAGGGCTTCAAGAGCTGGAATCTCTGAGACCAGTGGGACCCTGGAGCTGCCTGCGTGTCAGGGCCCTTAAACGCCCTTGTTGCTTCCTAGCGAGGCCTGAGTTGATGGGAATATCTGGCCGGGATCACTGAGTTTCCTGACTTTTTACATTTGGCCTGTCAGCTGGAGATGATTTGTCAGTCACATTTGCAGGATACAACCCTTTATAGTGTTTCTCCCCACCAAAACTTCCTTGGAGATTTAATCGCTCAAATGGCATATGTACCAATAAAACAATCACTGTCAGCCATATGACATTTATCACACTCCAACTATAAAAAGTCACCAGAGCCAACATAAAGGAGTGCCTTTCAGAAGGGGGAAAGATCCTGATTCCTAGTTTCAGAGGGTTGCATTTACAAACTGGGGAGGGCATTATCTCGAAATGCTAAGGCATATTGTGATTATGGCTAGCTTGGATTTTGCAAATGGCATTTTAAATACGACTGTGAAGGTGTTAGATCTACAAAGATATTTAAAGAAGGAGAAAACACATCTGAAACCTTTTAACATTAAGCTCATGTGAAACCATATATTTTCACAGTATATTTTCATTTTTCTGTACATATGTAAGTGGGAGCTGAGTTTATAAAGAGGGTCATGATACGGAGAAAGATATTGCTGTGGGCTAGCTATCTATATGGGCTAGCTTATTTTTTGCAGGGTGGTGGGTGTAAAGAAAGACGTATGCAAGAATGCAAAGGTGTGTTCACAAGAGATTCTGTTGGTTTCCCTCCAGGTGGGGAGGAGCACGTGTTCGAGAATTCGCCGGTCCTGGATGAACGGTCCGCCCTCTACTCTGGTGTGCACAAGAAGCCTTTTTTCTTTGATGGCTCTCCTGAGAAACCTCCCGAAGATGACTCAGACTCTCTCACCACGTCTCCATCCTCCAGCAGCCTGGACACCTGGGGGGCTGGCCGGAAGTTGGTCAAAACCTTCAGCAAAGGAGAGAGTCGGGGCCTGATTAAGCCCCCCAAGAAGATGGGGACATTCTTCTCCTACCCAGAAGAAGAAAAGGCCCAGAAAGTGTCCCGCTCCCTCACCGAGGGGGAGATGAAGAAGAGTCTCGGGTCCCTGAGCCACGGGGTAAGTACAGATGGTGTTTGCTTCTATGACAACCACCGTCGCAGGCACCACCTTCTGGTGTCCCTGGAGGAGTTTCAGAGTGTCCGGAAGCAAATCCGCTTGAAGAAAACGGATACTAATTATTCCTGTTCCAGAGCTTTTCTCTGCCAGCGTCCCTCCAGAAAAGGCATCACCAGCACCACCTGTGACCTGCAGCTGCTCCGGCAGAAAGGCAAAGGGGGCGGGAGCTGTGGCTTCCCCGGCAGGAGGGTGCGCGGGCGCACCTCGGTCAGCGAGTTCAATATCACCTACGTGGTGGAGAGGAGCCTGTACAGCCACCTGAACCTGACCCAGCTAGTGCGGCCTGCCTCAGACAGGACCCTGAGCAAGGCTGAGAGACAGGACCTGAGGCGGTGCCTGCTGGAGGAGGATGAGGAGGCAAAGAGGAAGTGGGCCGCCACGGTCGACCGCTGTACTAAAAGGGTTCTCTTGAGAATCCACCAGAAGTCTGTGAGTCACAAAGATGGTCCCGAGGACGGCCTTGTCATTTCTGTGATGTGCAGTCAAGCATTATGGCCTTTCTTCTGCGGGGACTGGCTTTCTCCCCTCTCTCCTGCTCATGACGTCAGGGCACATCCCACCATCACCTTTAATTTCAAATCCTGCTTTCACTTCCAGGCAACTTTCACCTTCTCTTCCATTTCTCCTCTTGTCAGATGAAGCTGTTTGAGTGCCCATTAAAATAAGCATTGAAGCTGATCCAGAGAGGGGCTTCCAGGGTACAGGGGTGGGGTTTGGCTGCCTCCAGGAGTGGCTGTCTTGATTCTCGGCCATTGTGTTACTTGACCTCAAAGAAGCTGATTCAAAACAGAAGGGCATTTCACCCTGGAAAGAGATGCTTGCTCTTGGTTTTAACATTAAAACAATAGGAGCAGGCTCATGGAAAAACTGCCATCATCACAGTCACCAATTCGGTGATTTGAAAACATTATAAAGCACATTTATATTATTAGTAGAGGCAAGCAGAAAGTTGGTAAATCTAACAACAAAAATGGGAGCCTTTTTGTTTTACTTAAGTCTATTCAATGTTCTTATCTTTATAAACAAATCAACATTTGGAAATGCCTTCCCCTAGCCTATAGATTCTTCTGTACTCAGCAAGGAATGAAGTACTCACTTTGAAAGAATAGGGGATGTTTTTCACTTTTAATACTGGCTGATCAGAGACCTAGTAAGATTTATTTTCAAGGCATGACTTACTTTGAACTTCAGAATATAGATATTTTTCCTTCTGAAATTCCCACCTAACTTTTAGTTTGCACAGTGGCCCATATAAAATGGTGCACAATGAGGAAGTAGAGCTCTTGGCCCTCTGTCACCTGGCACCTTGCTTGATCTGCTCAGGACGGTTGGCTGTGGGCCCTTTTAAAGATCTGAAAGAGTAGAGTATCCTTCAATAGTGGTTTTCCCAGGGGGCCTTCACATTCATGAACAGGATGTTCTTCCCCAGACAATTAGTGTAATTTAAATTCATTCAGTCGGGTTCTGCTTTTGTGAAAGTAAAGATGGATTGGTCAATGCCATTCTTAAAACGACTTTCTCTGTTGTAAAAGAATCGTTAGGTCCCTCCTAGCCCCTGGATTTTCCAAGTATTTCCACGTGTTGACTTCCTCCCTAGATCTTATTTTCTGTCCTTTCATATTGGTGTAATTCTTGCAATACTTTTAATACTGCTAGTATGTAGCAGGAACTTTTCTGCTGTCTCTTTCTGTATCATGGCAACAGTTTTTCATTGATTGAGTTTTTGCTTTAGAATAACAATTCTTTTTCTCACTCATTCAGCCTCTGGTTTGCTCTGACTCACAGATATTTTGAAAAATAACCAATCTTAGTTTTATGTATTTATTTTTTACTTTCAGAAGTGTTCTGCCCAGTTCGTCTGCTCTTGTACCTTTTGACATGACCTTGATAGAACAGACCCACTTCTTCTGTTAATTGATGACTCACCTCTGAGTTTACATCATGTAATACTGAGAATTTTCCCAATTGGAGCACCTTGAATTGTTGATGTGCCTCTCGTGTTACTTATTGTCGGATTCATACTATAACTCCATGAGGGCTTTGTCTCTAGAAGTTATATTTCTGGGATTTGTGCTAGTTAGCGTTGTGGACCAGTGATTAATTCTTCACTGACATTGAGTATAGACATCTGGGCAAGCTCATTTCCAGGCACCACCCCCACCTAACGTGCTGTTGTGTAATCCCTCCAGGCACCACCAGCACCTAACGTGCTGTTGTGTAATCCCTATCTCAAGTATCAGTCTGAAGCTGAGTATTTTTAAAATACTGTGAGCCTGAGACAGTAATGGACAGTTTCAACACTTGTAAAACTATGTGTTCAATAGGAAGTTATATGTTTGCATATTCCTTTTCTTGTAGTACAGTTGTACAATCAAAATTTTACTTTCTATTTATCCAGAGAATGTAAGAGGAAATAAGCATTCTATCTTACAATATAAATAACTTTTTTAAAAAGGGACTAATTTTATTTCTTTGCTAGATTTATTTAAAAAGTTATTTTCCATTCTCCTTGTCATGTATTTCTTTCATTTTATCTAAAAGTTTCCTTTATTCTTCAACCTCAATCTCTTTGTCTTTCAAAAATGCCATATTTGCTTGATGAAACCTCAGGGAAATGATAATGCTTTGTATTCACTGGAAGTGGTCACTTGTCTCGTATTTTATTTGGTCATTCAATTTTTGTTTGAGAGAACAGACATGCATGACATTTTGCAATTTTGTCCATTTTTAAATTCAACCCAAAACATGTGTTTCCAACTGCATGACCATTCCATTGACTAGCCCTCCTCATCCCAAGCATCTATCTAAAGTGTTTTTATAATTATCAGTACAGGAGGTGTATGAACTAAAAAAACTTCATTTAGGCTTCATTTATTTAGGTCATCAATGTTAAAGGCTGGTTGATATACTGATTTATTTTTTATGAGTCTCTTTACAGACCATTTTCTCTTTTGAAGGAATGCTGTTAAAGAACTACTTGATCTTATAGAAAAAGCTAGAAATTAATTCAAGCAATCTTTATTGTTATATTCTTTGTCACTCCTCCACTGTTAAAAAGAATCAATTCCAGATATCTTAGTCTATCATTGGAAGACGTTTTAGTTGGTAGTTAAGAAAACTAGTCCATTCTTTAAGTTTTTCATTTTAGAAATAAAGGCATACAATAGGCATATGAAAACTTAAATGAGATTCTAATTTATTGCAGTCATAGTTTCCACATAAATTCTTTGTCAGTTATTTCATATGCATCAGAAATAACTCGGGCTCCAACATTGCAGTAGATGCTGTAGTTTAAAGCAGGGACATGCAAAACCATACAATAATGAGGCATCTGGGCGCCATACCGTGTCTGTGAAGCCCTGAGTCACAGGAAAGAAACTAGAATAAAATCACTGCTTTTGCAAGAAGGAGGAAATGTACGTGGCATTTTAAGCTGGAAAGAGAAAGTTAATGTTAAAAATTAGCCTTGAGAGGTGGTCATAACATTGCTTACCCAGTTAGGTGATTTGGTGAATATGTTTGTGCAGAAAGGTTTTTCTCTTTCTATAGAATAGATATAGGTCCAGTTAAGTTGACAATAAAAGAAATCACATTGCTCATTAATATTTAATATAGAATTAGGATAATGTCTATTAGAAAATAAATTGGTAGTAGATTATTTAAAACAGCAGCAGCAGCAGCACTGGTGAAGAAGAACAGCTCTGAGTCATCCTGATGTCGGTTGTCATGAAATGCTTTCCTTATCTTTTGGCCTTCCCCTGTACCCCAGTGGCCATCTCTCACTTTGTGGCCCATTCCTGGTATGCTCCGATTTTATAGTTGAACTCCCAGATTAGATTGTAAGGCCCAGAACAAAGCTCCACCTCTGCATTTGCATATTTATAATGTTAACTAAGCCTCAACTTCAATATAACAGCTGCCAGGATGACTACCGCATTCTCAGTACAGCCTTAATGAAAAGTAATGGAAGAAACCAGCATTTCGTAGAGTGTCTGCCTTGTGCCAGGCAGTGCGCTAGAAGGCTTCAAATGTGATATAAGTATTATTTTAATAATTAATCTAAAGCTCAGAGAGTGTAAGTACTTTACCTGAGATAACACAGCAAGTAAGTGGCAGAACCAGGATTTGCGTATAGATTTATGTGATTTCAAAAACCTGGGCATTTTCTTTCTAGGATGTTTCTACTTTATCAATTCAGTTAATTATATATATATATATATTTAAATAAATAAGCAATACTTATAGTATATTAGGTTGGTGCAGAAGTAATCAAAGTTTTTGCCATTGAAAATAATGGCAAAACCGCAATTATTTTTGCACCAACCTAATACATTGTACTTTTCTGTTCATTTCTTCCATTTAATAGCTGTTCATTAGACTTCTCTGAGAAGCTGGTAATACAAAATATTGAACCCTGAATCTACAATTAAACTTTCATTACTGATGTTTAAAAAAGATAATTAGTTGTAACATTAATGTGCGTTGCGGGGCGCAGGGTGGTCGCTCAGAGGCTTTTACTAGAAAAACAACAGTGAATTTGAACCAAGTTCTGCAAATACAAAAATCACTAAGATATAAGCAGTTCTGTGAAGTTTTGCAACCACCTAAAAGGATAATAAAGTTTTCATTCTTTATAACATCAGCATTTGTCCTATTGAAATTAAAGAGTGTGGTCTAAGACAGTCACCGATTCATCCGTTTTCTTTCTGGGCAAATGTGGCATCTTCATTCACTGAGAGAAAAGGGTCATCATTACTTAACTTGGTCAGTTAGATGGGAAAGTTACCAGCGTTTTTGGCTAGGATGGGGAAGCAGTGAGTGAGTAATTCTCTTGGCCTGATTGGACTACTATAAACATAACCTTTCCCCCTCCTCTTCTCAGCGATTTAAAACTAAACAAAATGAAAGTCTGTTTGAAAAGCTTGCTGTTGGTGTCAGAGCCATGGGATTTTAGACCTGGGTTTTCAGGATGCCTGAGCACATGGATCCTCTAACACATATCCCTTCATTCTCTCTACTGAATGTAGCTGATGTTAGGGGAAGTTCTGTGCTGGAGACAGGGAATCTCACAGCACTGGACTCATGGTTTTTTTGTTGTTGTTTTTTAGGCTTTTTTTTAAGTGGTTGGTTTTTGCATGTTAAGAGGATTCTAGACTTCTGGGGTGGGCAGAGTTCCAGTGGCCTGTGAAAGGGAAAAATGAGTGAAGTTTCCTTATGACATGACTCATGTGTTTTTTTCTCATCATTTCTCGTGTTCTACTTTCATCCTGTACACGTATTTGTGATTCAGAGATGTCCTGCAAATGGGGACTGTTGGGTTGGTGCACCACCGGCTGGCTTAAGCATAACTGGAGTTTTTCTGCCCTGCCCTCTTTTCCACAGAGAACCTGCAGTTTTGGAGGATTTGACTTGACAAATCGCTCTCTGCATGTTGGCAGTAATAATTCTGACCCAATGGTGAGTAGCGTTGGAGGAAAGCAAAAGATATGGATTCAGGCGATGAGGCTGACAATAGTTGACCATTGAGCATCTTTGAGAACTGATAGTGGGTACTGTTTTCCTTGGTAATCCTCAGTCACGTTTAGAGAAAAGCTCTATTTCACTCACCTTACGGACTCCACCGTTCCACATGGAATGAATAATGACCACTCTCACTGCCGTCTCCTTCCCTGAGTAGCACGGTTCCTTTAGTGCCTTTGCTTCCGGTTTTCTTCAAGTAACAAATCCAGATAAGTCTGGCCTCTGTGGTCTGAGTCATTTTGCACATGGCCTTTTCTTCTTGCTAGTTTCTAGCACGTAACTACGACACACACATAGTGCCATGAAGTGGAGCCCTGTGGGTATGTGCTGGCATTTTGGAACACCAGTCTTATTACAGGCCCAGTACCTGGCCCCGCATGGCCTATACTAAGCCTAGGGTTTTGTGGTCTGGGGTGTCCTGGAGTGAACTTAGTCTCCGTGGGACCAAAGCAGACCAGACCGCTCAGGGATCTGGTGTCAGGCCCAGGTGTCTGCCCCTCAGACCTGCTTTGGGGTCATAGTCCAGGGACAGGCCACCACAGTGGCACACAAGTTTTGTTCCCTGAAGTTTGTTTTCTCAGACCCCAAGGGTGAAGGTGAGTCCTTTTTTTTTTTTTTTTTTTTTTTTTGAGACGGAGTCTCGCTTTGTACCCAGACTGGAGTGCAGTGGCACAATCTTGTCTTGTCGGCAATCTTGTCTCACTGCAACCTCTGTCCCAATGTAGCAGTTCTCCTGCCTCAGCCTCCCAAGTGGCTGGGATTACGGGCATATGCCACCATGGCCAGATAATTTCTGTATTTTTAGTAGAGGTGGGGTTTCTCCATGTTGGCCAGGCTGGTCTTGAACTCCTGACCTTGTGATCCACCCGTCTTGGCCTCCCAAAGTGCTGGGATTATAGGCGTGAGCCACCACGCCCAGCCTTTGGTGAGTCTTATATATAGTTTAGTTTGTCCTTTGCATTGTGTCATAAAACTATAAAATGAAGATTTCGTGTTTCATATTTGTTATGATCATGGGTCAGCTAAAATACCCACCTGGGATGTATATGAAATGTTTTGAAAATTTCCTGGAAGAGATTTAAACTATTTTATTTGGCTATCAAATTATATTGATTCTTAAGCCAATAGTTTTCTGCTGTCAATCTTTTTTAGAAATGAGAGAAAATATGATTTGTTTTCTTTCTCAGAGAAAAGTTTGTTTAAAAAAAAATGCAAACTAGAATGAGAGATGACCACAATCTAGTTTGTTAAGAGAGAAATGTACACACTGAGCGCTATAGTGATGGAAATCCAATCAGATGTTGCTCTTCTAACGAGTGAGCTTAACCATTTGTTCTAACCTCTTTCTCAGGGCAATTCAGTTGTATTATCCTCTCTTCTCCCTCATTGCTGGGATTACATGAACATAGTAAATCACCTTTTTTTTTTTTTTGGAGATGGAGTCTTACTCTGTTGCCCAGGCTGGAGTGCAGTGACGCGATCTCGGCTCACTGCAAGCTCCGCCTCCCGGGTTCACGCCATTCTCCTGCTTCAGCCTCCCGAGTAGCTGGGACTACAGGCGCCCGCCACCACGCCCAGCTAATTTTTTGTATTTTTAATAGAGACGGGTTTCACCGTGTTAGTCAGGGTGGTCTCGATCTCCTCACCTCGTGATCCACCCGCCTAAGCCTCCCAAAGGTAAATCACTCTTTACTGATGAAATGCAGTCCCCTTGGGTGTTAAAAATAGCAGGAAAAATGTAACCTGATAAGGATGTACTAAAAGTAAGTAAAATAAAAACTGACTCACATCCCACTGTCAGCAAACAAACAAAAAACCCTATAGTCAATAAGCTTTCATTTTTAATCAAAGAGATAAATAACAGCACAGAGTTAACACAAGAAAAACTTAAAGATCCTGAGGAATGCCCATATTTCTGAGAGCTAGGACAGTAATGGTTTAAATAATAAAACCTGTCCTTCATCTTTTGCGACCAACAATACTTGCAACATTTTGTTTTACAGGGTAAAGAAGGAGACTTTGTGTACAAAGAAGTCATCAAATCACCTACTGCCTCTCGCATCTCTCTTGGGAAAAAGGTGAAATCAGTGAAAGAGACGATGAGAAAGAGAATGTCTAAAAAATACAGCAGCTCTGTGTCTGAGCAGGTATGTAGCTACCTGGTAGAATGTTCCCTTGGTTCTTCCTGACAAGAAAAGCTGAGGATGGCCCACCAGAGATTTTAAATGGTGCTAAATATACATATTCCTTGGCATTAACCTGCTCCAAGTCCGTGCTTTATTTACATAGAGAAATATTGTATTCAGCACACATTTATTAAGCACTTTGGGCTGTTCAGCACCGTGCTTGGTGCTGGGGAATACAAAATATAGGACTTGCCTTCTATGTACAGACAAGAGAAAAAGACATGTAAAGAAATGGTTACTCTTCAGTGCAATAGGCATTGTAAATTTGAATGCAAAGGAAGCATTTTATTTTCTAAACTATGCCTTGCTACAGAATGGATGTTACCGGAATCAAACCTAAAACTTTTTTTTTGAACAGCAGACTTGTCGATCATAGCATAAGTTGTTCTAGAAGCACATAGCCAGTCTGAGAAATAAACTCGGAGTTCTTCCTGGGTACCAGACTTTGGTAATAATGTTTCAGAGCGGGGTGTTTTCCCTCATTTGCCCTATCTGTAGCCATGAAGAAAGGTATCACACAATAGATTTTTCCCCCTAGATCTATAATTTTGTTGCTAGAAAAATGACTGTTTCTGTCTTAATTGCATGGGTGGCGGGAGTAAAGACAGTTGGAGAGCTTGGCCTCAAGGTAATTATGACCATTCAATTTTCAAGACACTCTCCTCCGGCACCTGTACAGCATTCATTTTGTAGCCTGTTGAAGTACCTGTGTATGAGCTGGTTGTCTGCTTGAAATATGTAGGTAATGCAGTTTATCTGCCAAATAAAAACAGCAGTGAAAGCAGACATTTTTGCTCAGCTGCTGCTCTCTGGTGGGCACAGTGAGCTAAAACCAAGCATCGCCCCTATGCGAATGACAGCACCACCAGCCTGCCACCCGCCTCACTTGATTCAAACAATGCCTGCATGGCAGCTTCAGTTGATTACAGTGATTCTCATGGGGAAGGGGTGAGAGGGTATCATTTTGCTCCCCCATGCACCCCAGGGCAATGTCTTTCAATGGTCAGACTGGGTTGAGATGAAGTGGAGTAGATATTGCTGACATCTAGAGCAGCAGTGCCCAGTCATTTTGCACCAGGGACTGGTTTTGTGGAAGGCAGTTTTTCCACGGAGCTGGGGTGGGTGGTGGTTTCGGGATGATTCACGTGCATTACATTTATTGTTCACTTTATTTCTATTGTTATTACATTGTAATATATAATAAAGTAATTATACAACTTACCATAATGTAGAATCAGTGGGAGCCTGAGCTTGTTTTCCTGCAACTAGATGGTCCCATCTGGGGTGATGGGAGACAGTGACAGATCATCAGGCATTAGATTCTCATAAGGAGTCTGCAACTTAGATGCCTCATGTGCACAATTCACAACAGGATTCATGCTCCTATGAGAATCTAATGCCACTGCCGATCTGATAGGAGGTGGAGCTCAGACAGTAATGCGAGTAATGGAGAGTGGCTGTAAAAACAGACGAAGCTTGGCCTACTCACCCGCCACTCACCTCCTGCTGTGCGGCCCACTTCTTAACAGGCCACAGACGGGTTCTGGTCCATGGCCCGGGAGTTGCGGAATGCTGATCTAGAGGATAGAGGCCAGGGACACTGCCAAACATCTTAGCATGGACAGGACGGCCCCCACAGCAAAGAACTGTCCATCCAAAATGATCAGTGCTCAGGCTCAGAAACCGTGGCTTATTAGACCTGCAGGAGATGCTGGACTGCCTTCAGTGTGTCTTATCCACGATTGTTTTCTGTATTCTTTTCATTCTCTTGTCCCTATGGATGAGGGAGTGATAGTGGTTCTGTATTTCTTCCCAGCAATGAAGCAGTCAGCATGCTAGTGAAAGCATGATACTAATTTAAAGCATTTTATTAAGTTTGCTTTTCCCCCAAATTGAAACAGCCACCAAAACTCTTCAGCTTATGTTCAAAGAGGTTTTATGCTTTATGAATCATAAGCATAGAATTTTAATATCATTTTGACGTTTTTCAGTAATGTTACTACCATATAGCAATCTTACGTGCTTAGTTCTATTTTTTTAAGGCAGTCATTTCACATAAGTTAAGGAATAAAAGAAATAACTGATCATTATAAATTTCCTGTAAAGCAAAAATAATGGAAGGTTTCGTGTGGTTGGTTTTTTTGTTTTTGTTTCGAGACAGAGTCTCACTCTGTCACCCAGACTGGAGTGCAATGGTGTGGTCTTGGCTCACTGCAACCTCCGCCTCCTGGGTTCAAGCAATTCTCCCACCTCAGCCTCCCGAGTAGCTGGGACTACAGGCATGTGCCACCATACCCAGCTAATTATTGTATTTTTAGTAGAGATGGGGTTTCACTACATTGGCCAGGCTGGTCTCGAACTCCTGACCTTGTGAACCACCCACCTTGGCCTCCCAAAGTGCTGGGATTACAGGCATGAGCCACCGCGCCCACCTTGTGTGTTTTTTTATAAAAACTTTTGAATAAATATACAAACCATTATGGCAGGGATATTTGTTTTCTCTGATACTGCTATATGCCCAGTACCTGGAATAGTGCCTGTTATTGTAGGTAATTAATAAACATGTGATGAATAAATTAATAATTTTAAAAAGCATTTGAAAATATATCAGAGATCCACATTTACTATTGCTGTTTTTCAAACTGCATGCTTTTTTCAGAAGCATTACAGAAGAATTTGATGGGAAAAAAATCACTTATTTTATGATGCAGAAAGGAGGAATGAGTTTTTTTTTTTTTTTTTTTTAAAGGAATTCATACTTTGGAGCTTCAGTGACTTCCTAATAATGTCAACTTTAGTTTTCTTTGTTGTTTTTGAGGTCGCTTGCTCACTTTCCTCACATTGAAAGCGCTAATGTGTGTTGGATCAGAGACTACTGTTGCTGATGTCCTCAGATGTTTATAGGGCCTGTGGAACTGTGTTAAGGCCCTTCTGATGATTCGGCAGCATGCAAATAGCAGGTTGCGTTTAGTTGGTTTTGTGTTCATGTGGCTGTGGCCATGTGTAATATGCCAGAGACTTTTCTATTTTGGCAAGTAAACAATTCTCACTGCAAACTTTCTGAAGTGTGACATCGTGTATTGATATAGCACCATGAATCAGATAAGCATGCTATGCTCAAATGTGCAAATGAGGAGCCGCTGAGAGGGTAATACTTAGCTACCCAAAATGCAGAAAGTACTGCTGAGTCACTCCCATCAGGATTCTGGTCTGAAAGAGACTCCCAGCTTTTTACTGACAGCACTTTAGAAAAGTGAAAGAAGCTAAGACTTTAGAGTGACATACGGAAATTTTATTGTAGACTGGAAAATAGTATGTTTGCTGTCTATTTGGGTTTTAATTTTGAATTTCTTTAGCCAATGCCAATAATTTGTATAAAGAGAAACATAAGAATCTTGCCAATTTTTCCCCCAAGGAGTATACTTTTTTAAAAGTGCAAATGTTTCCTATCCAAGTAGATTAAATATCCTCTGACTGCACTTCCAGGTATTCCATTAATCATGGATTGTATTTGATCTACATTTGAAGTCCAGCCTTGCTACTGGGCTTTTGTGTGTGCTGAGTCTCTAAGCCTTTAAGTATTTTGTCTGTGTGGTAGATAGATTTTTTTTTTTCTTGGAGATTTCAAGAATATCTACTTGAGAATGAGAAATAATATTTGAGTGGTTAATAAATAGTAACATTGTCCATAACTTTAAAGTAAGCAAGGATATAGGTTTAAAAGGAGGAGAATATTGGTTATAGAATCAAATATGAGTGTAGATTGATTTCATTGATTTCATTGAAGACCAAGTCACTGAGAATTACAAAACAACAGCTGTGCACTCTGATGAACTTCTTCATTTTGTTGAAACCCACGGCAGGATTCGGGCCTCGATGGAATGCCTGGCTCCCCTCCGCCTTCACAGCCTGACCCTGAACACTTGGACAAGCCCAAGCTCAAGGCCGGGGGTTCCGTAGAAAGTCTTCGCAGTTCTCTGAGTGGGCAGAGCTCCATGAGTAAGTCTAGTTTGTCATTGTAGATTATTGTCCTTGGAGTTAATATGTGACATATACTGAGCACTAGGTTCAGGCAATTTTAAGGTGAATAAGACCAAGTCCTGCCCTTCAGGTGCTATTACAGAACCGGACCTGCAAACTCTCTGGACTCAGAGTCGTGTCTGGTTATTAGTAGACATGCAGCAGCAGCAGCCCAAAAGAGGAGGTGATGCATTTTGATCAGAGACAACAGGGAAAGCATCTCAGAAGAAGGATCTAGAGAGCAGGGGGATAAGCCAGGGAGACGAGCACATGCAGGTGACCAGCGAAATAAAGGGTGTGGGGAAGGGAGGGAATTTTATATGTGACTGATACATTCGGGCCAATGGTAGTTGGAGTTGGCTGAATGGTAGGAAGGAAAAGATCAACTTTTTATTTTATTTTTATTTTTAATTTTATTTTTTGAGATGGAGTCTCACTGTCTCCCAGGCTGGAATGCAGTGTTGTGAGCTCAGCTCACTGCAACCTTCGCCTCCCTGGCTCAAGGGATCCTCCTCCTGCCTCAGCCTCCCGAGTAGCTGCACTACAGAGGCATGCCACCACACCTGGCTAATTTTGTTGCAGAGATGGGGTTTTGCCACGTAGCCCAGGCTGATGGAACTCCTGGACTCAAGCAGTCCGCCCACCTCAGCCTCCTAAAGTGCTGGGATTATAGGCATGAGCCACCATGCCCCGAGATCAAATTTAAGCCTACCACTAAGTTCTTACCCTTTGGGGCACATGATATGACCACTCTGAATTTGTTTCCTCATCTGTAAAATGGTTCGAAAGAGTGTGCATTACCACTGAGAGGTCACAAATGTTCAGAGCAGAGTCTAGTGACTGGTCCTGCAGTGTCCTCCACACGGGAGCCTCGGTGCCACATGGATTCCCAGGTCTTGAGGGTAACTTGCTGTGAGTCCCCTGTCCAGTGAGGAACTGAGGGATACCACTCGGAGAATTCATAACTGGGCCCTGCCCTGGTCCTGACAGAGGGTTGTGGCTCAATGCTTCCTTTCTCTGAGCCTTCGTTTCCTAATCTGCCTTACCTTCAATACCTTTCTGCTTTGCTGGGTGGGAAATCTGTATCTACCCTTGTTCTTCCTCTGTTTCCTGTACAGGTGGTCAAACAGTGAGTACCACCGATTCCTCAGCCAGCAACCGGGAAAGCGTCAAGTCGGAAGATGGGGATGACGAAGAGCCGCCTTACCGAGGCCCGTTCTGCGGGCGTGCCAGGGTGCACACCGACTTCACCCCCAGTCCCTATGACACAGACTCACTCAAGCTCAAGGTATGTCTCTCCCTGGCCTCAGAGCAGCTAACTGGGCTCTTCCTTTTCTCTAGGAGGCTTTCTTTCCTCCTTACTGTTGAATGCTGGACTACTGTGGTATAGACGGGACAGTATCTTGGCTACCTCGATCACTGGTCTCCTCTGTAGTGAAAAACAGAACAAGAACCAGCCAGCCCTCGCGGCCGAGGGAGGGTCTCGTGTTAATCCCTGGGTTATCATCACTTCACCCCTCTGACCTCAGCTTCCCTCTAGAATTCCTACTGCACACCCTCGCTCTCCCCACCAGCTCCTGCTCCACACACGTGGTTTCTATGTTTTCTCCGTCTGAAGAAAGATTTCTGCCTTCTGTGTGCTCAGAGATACCTTTATGGGACAGATGGGGTTCCACCAAGTGTGTGCAGCCATGACAGGGCCAGAATTGACACTGGGTAGGACAGGTGGGAAGTGCCTTCTCCAAGAAGTGGGAGCCCTCTGAGGAGGGAAGACGTGCGGAGCGCCAGGTGGGCAGCCTGGCTGAGGGCACCAGAGGCACCCCAGGCACCCCTGGTTCTGCAGGGCAAGAGGGTGGAGGGGCTGTGACCAAGGGCCTGTGTGGAATTCCGTACAGTCAGAGACACCTGTCTGGCCTCTGCTGAGCTCACAGTCACATCCTGTGCGGCTCACTCAGAGGGGTGACTTGTGGGACCCCGATTCTGGCCTTTGTGGCATCTTCACTTCTGCATGACCTGTGTATCTGACAGACTTGTGATCGGTACGTTCGTGGAATGTACCTAATGGACAGATCTTTGCTCCCTGGGCCACAGAAAGGAGACATCATTGATATCATCAGCAAGCCGCCCATGGGGACCTGGATGGGGCTGCTGAACAACAAAGTCGGCACATTCAAGTTCATCTACGTGGACGTGCTCAGCGAGGACGAGGAGAAGCCCAAGCGCCCCACCCGGAGGCGGCGGAAAGGAAGACCGCCCCAGCCCAAGTCTGTGGAGGATCTCCTGGATCGGATTAACCTAAAAGTCAGTCGCTTTGGATTCTCGTCACATGCTACTACCTCACTGCCTTTTTCTCTCCTACACTGAGCAAGGGAGGGCATTTTTAGGGTAGGGTTGGGGCTGATCTGTGTGGTCCAGTAAGGTCGGCTCGTTACTGTGATCAGCATCCATTCCACAGAAAGAGTTACCAGTTTTCTAACACTGCCCTTGACCTCAGCTATGGGTGATAGCATAAGTCCCAGATCCAACCTTGCTGCTGGAAGAGCTATAGGCAGAAACTCCTGGCACCTTGATCACAGCTAGCTCCACAGGGGCCACGAGGAAACTCCATGCCCACCTCCCTCCCACCATCACTCCCAGCATCTACTAGTGTGAGTCTGCAATGAGAGATTACGTTTCCTCTTTGCAAAACTCTTGATCCTGAGGAATTAAATGCTGGATTTTAATAACTCTGTAAATGGAGGAGGCGTCTCCTCTGTTGTGGGCTCTGTGGAGGTAAAGGAATTAGCTCTTATCAAGAGTACAATTATAGTGCAAGCCTGCGGAATCCATCACAGCCTGCAATGTACATCTTCCTAATCCATGATTAATAAAACACCCTGCTTGCCTACTAAGCCAGAGGACTGGGATGTTCAGGATCCATTGCAAATGATACTTTCTCATCTTTTGATTAGCATGAAGATGACTATGAGAACAGTGTGGGGGTTGCAGGCTAGTTGTTGGCGGTGTTATCACGTGGCTGGGCTGGCTGACTCCCTTCTGTCTTCCTTCTCCCTCTCACAGGAGCACATGCCCACTTTCCTGTTCAATGGATATGAAGATTTGGACACCTTTAAGCTGCTGGAGGAGGAAGACTTGGATGAGTTAAATATCAGGGACCCGGAACACAGAGCTGTTCTCTTGACAGCGGTGGAGCTGTTACAAGAGTATGACAGTAAGTCCCTGAACACACAGAGGTGTTCCCTGTGAGGTCCGCCACAGCAGGCCCCACGTATGCCGCCAGTATGTGCTTAGGTCCCTGGAGTCGCTTATTCTGTCCTCTTATTTCACAAGCCAAGGTCAAATTGCACAAAGCCGTAAATTCCCAGGGCAGACATGGGAACAAAAGAAAACCTCCTGTGCCGCCGCTGCCTTTCCAGGCATGTTTCTAGGTGATAGTTGAAGAGGATTCTGTACCAAGCGTCTGCAAGAATGGAATTACAGTTTGGGTAGACTCCACTTGCAGTACTATTGAGATGTGCAGCCTCCAGCAGGCCACTGGGACAGCTGAGCACAAAAGCGACTGACCAGCTGGGAGGTTTTCGCCCAGCTAAGGATTGACTGCTTCTCAGAGCACACGAGGAGTTGTGTTCTTATTGAATAGACTGGTTTGTGAATAAATGAAATTCATCAGCTTTCGTTAAAGGAGGAGATGTCTCTCCCCAGTGAATATGTAGAGCAGAGAATTCCGTATCGATTGGCTTGCAAATTCCTAACCTAAATGACAGCTTATTTTTACAGCCTGTGAGCAGAATCGTCGGTGAGCTCACAGCTTTTACGAAGTCTATTTGAATATACCATATCCTTTGCTCCATTAACTCAGTCTTATCTTGCTCTGTATTCTTCAATCTGCCATCAGAAATATTCCTGAAATCGTTCATCTTAAAGGAGTATCCTTTCTAGTTACTGAATTCAAATGCGTTTTCCTTCAAGGACTCTGCTTCAGGGATATCAGTAGCTAATAGCATTTCTGTTGCTGAAAGACACACCAAAACCATGGTTAATGGTGGAAAAAAGAATTTTACATTACTGAAATGTATCAGGCCTGAGAAATACAGAAGCAAGTGTCATTAGGTGAAATTCACTTCTGCTAAATAGGCAGTCCCTCTAAATGAACTGATAAGCTAGAGAAACACACACCATCAGATAGATGTCTGAGCCTAAGATAAACAGGCTGCCTTCAGGGATAGATTTGGAGACAATTGTGATTCATAGTTAATATCACTTTATAAAGGGCAGTGTTAACATTTTTTTAAGTATTTGATTCCCAAGAGACACGTTGGGTCTGTGGCCAGGTTGTGTGTAAAGAGCCTGCACAGTAACTGGTGTAGCCTACCAGCTCAATTAGTATGAATCAATATTAAATCATCTGTTGTCCTGAATCACATCTGCCGAGTAACATAGCCCACTTGCTTTTCCTCAGTCACCAAGAACAGCTGGGTTTTTGTTGTTGTTGTTGTTTTATTTTGGTTTGTTTTGTTTTTGAGACAGAATTTTGCTCTCGTTGCCCAGGCTGGAGTGCAGTGGCGCAATCTTGGTTCACTGCAACCTCCATCTCCCGGGTTCAAGCCGTTCTCCTGCCTCAGCCTCGCGAGCAGCTAGAATTGCAGGCATGCACCACCACACCCGGCTAATTTGTGTATTTTTAGTAGAGATGGAGTTTCACCATGTTGGCCAGGCTGGCCTCAAATTCCTGACCTCAGGTGATCTGCCCACCTCGGCCTCCCAAAGTGCTGGGATTACAGGCGTGAGCCTCCACATGCAACCAACAACTGGTTTATACGTACTCTCCATTACATTTCCTTCATCTTCCACAGCTTTGGAGGAGAAAAGCTAACTCCTGAGTGTAAGGCAGGAATCTGTGCTTAGATTCTTCCATGCCATGTTGGCTCAGACCTGTCGTTCCTCCTGGGATCACATCCTGAGATTTTTGTACCAGGGAGCATTTTTTTGTAGGAGGGTATGGCTATCCATCAGGTTGCTAACCTGGAAGGTGAAGAAGACCTCTTTGCCTCTTCAAACATTCCATTATGGATCTATTCTGCTCTGTTGTTTAGAACTTCCCTGGTATATAAAGTTGTGCTTCCTTTTATTGGTTCCAAAACAAAGGCTTCAAGGTTCCAGAGGTACCCATCAGTGCCAAGAGTCAGGGTCCAGACTTTTCCTAGCATTATAGGATTTTACATCCAACACAGTTAAAGTCATCATGGCTAAGAAGTAGTGCCTCTAACTGATAACTTAGAGAAACATGGTAGGTTTCTGTCAAACCAAACTTCTGTACACTAGAGAGATGCAGAGGTCTATTGAGATCTTTGAAGATATGGAGGGATCTTGAAAGGTTTCTAGCTTAGCCATCACTGAGAGCAAAAAGTACATTTCCAGCACTACTTGGAAGTCAGACCTGTCCAGCCTTCCTCAAAGCGTGGGAAAAATGCCAGCCTTCATATGGGAACCCCACTGGGAAAAGACTCCGATTGTCAGATGGCTGCTCCTTACACCAAGCCCAGACCCACCATCTTCGGTCTGGCAAATGAAAGTGTCTTGCAAATTGCTAAAAGAATTTTTACTTGTTGTAAAGTACATTATAATCTAAAGTTTACTGTCTTAGCCGTTTCTAAGTATAAATGATAACTTGTATAAGAATTCTAATTTAGGAATTATTTCAAACATGCAGAAAAGTACAGGGAAAAAGAAAACAAACGTACACATGTACATGCTGAAGTTAATGTTTTGCCATATTTTCTTCATTTCTTACATTTTAAGAAATATGGCGTAAGCCCATGGAAAGTCCTGCTTTCAGAGACTCCCATTCCCTTCTCTTCTTTCCCAAGGTAACTGCTCCCCAGGCAATGGTATGTGCCCTTGGGTACCACTACCTTTTGATGTTGGAATATTCATAGGTGTCTCAGCATATTCTCTCCCTGTGTGTGTGGGGTGGGGAGGGGGGCAGGGTTGGTGAGGCTGGAGGCAGAGAGAGCTTAGCCCAAGCAGAGCCCCTTCAGGTCAAAGTTCAGGTCATGCTCAAATGGGGTTTCAGCCTCACAACCTCGCACTTTGCTGTGATTTGACTATGAGAATTTTCAGGGTTCTAGCTCATCTTCTTTCTTATCTTTTGTACCTAGTATCTTTTGTACCAATGCTAAGAAGTGTGGGAAAAGGTCATGGTCCTGATTCTGCACTACAGAGGAGAGGCACCTCACCTCTTTTTCTCTTCTCCCTAATAAAGACAGTGATTCTAGCCCCCTTCCTTATGCCTCATGGGTCTATAAATAGAACTGTGGTTTTCAGGTGACAGATGGATCCCCTCCCTCTCCAAAATAATTTCAGGTATCCTGCTGTGTCTGGTGAGGCTGGGGTCCCCAGATATGCAGGCACAGCACACATTTCCATGCTGCAGCAGGAGCAGGTCTCCTGTGTTCCTCCCACCGGCCAGCACTCTGGAGTCTGTTTTGGCCGCTGTGGTGCACTGAACCGTGTCACCAGGGACAGAGTACACTGACTCCTCTCCCTGGGTTGTAATGGATAGCGCAAAGCCCTCATTTTATAAGCATCATTTTTCTAAATAACATGCTAGGCTAGAACAAAGGCCACTGCAAAGCCACAGGCTCTTCCACACAGTGAGGACATCGCTCCAGAATGTTCCACTTTTAGGCGGTCGGGGGGACAGTATTTGCTCTTGTGCTTCCAATTAGTTAATTTTTCATTCGTCATTTTAAAAGTAACACTCTTAATTTGGGATTCTAATTGAGGGACTTACACTGCCACGATCTCTGCTGTGGTTGGGGCTGTAAAATGCTTTCCCTGTGAGAAATGCAAGCAGGAAGTGGTGAATGGACAGCTGGAGAGCTGCCAGAGCCTTCCGCCTCCCCACATTTTTATTTTGATGACCTGAGAAAAGGCATCACATTTCTGGTTTATTGATTTCTTTTTTTCTTTGTGTATGTGGTTGGAGTGGGGGAGTTGGTGGGGGATGAAAAGAAAGGAAAATAAAGCGATTCATCACTGCAACTAGCTATTTTATGTAGAAAATGTTTTCTTGGTTTCTGTTTTATGTGACCAAGCACTTTGCATAATAATGCAAAGATGATCTGCGTGTAACCTCAGTGTCCCATGTAAGGCTCCACGTGCCCTTTCTACAACATGCCGGCTGATACTTCTGGGTTGTTGAAGACCCTCACAGCTTTCCACGTGATTTCCTTGGGGCAGATTCACTCAACAGAAGTGTCTGATGCTGCTCTTGATTTTTTCCTCTCCTCCAGCTTTGTTAAGGCTCAATTGACAAATAGTGATGCTTCTCTTTAAAAGCCTTCCTTAGAATGAGGTCTTCCTTTTTTTTTTTCCTTTATTTTATTATTATTTTTATTTATTTCAATAGCTTTGGGGGTATAAGTGGTTTTGGGTTACATGGATGAATTATATAGTGGTAAATTCTGAGATTTTACTGTACCCATCACCTGAGTAGTATACATTGTACCTAATATGTAGTTTTTTATTCCTAGACTCCCCCTACCCTTCCCCTTCTGACTCTCTAAAGTCCATTGTATCGCTTTGTATGCTTTTGTGTGCTTATAGCTTAGCTGCTACTTACAAGTGAGACCATGTGGATTTTGGCTTTCTACTCCTGTGTTACTTCACTTAGAATAATGGCCTCCAGGTCCATCCAAATTGCTGCAAGGACATTATTTCATTCCTCTTCATGGCCAAGTAGTATTCCATGGTGTATATAGAGGCACTGCATTTTCTTTATCCACTCGGAATGAGGACGTTCAGCTTTCGGTCATCCATTTATCTATACCAGCAACCATGTATCTGTTACTCAGCTTCCAAGTTCGAGGGTTTCCTAAGCTTTCCCCAGCTTTTACTTATATGCAGGAGACAGAAGTGTGCTGGCACAAGACAAAGGGAGAAGCAGAAAAGAAAGAGCAACCACTAACTTATCCCAAACAACAAAAATAAAAGAAGATTTGCCACTGGCCTCTCAGTTTTGGGGTTTGTGCCTCGTCTTGCCAGCCTTACTCTTGCTGAGCTAATAGAAGAGCCCTCAGCGCATGTCCCTGAGGGCTAAGAATGCTCCTAAATGCTAATAAAATTTATTTCATTTGACACTTTAATATTAGCTCCCAAATTTGGAAAGTTGGCAACACAACTATCTTCCAGCACAAGTTTTATACATCTCCAAAAAACGTATGACCCAATCTCACCTTGTGCATGGGGCGTTTATTCTCTGTTTGCTTCTCCTCGATGGTGCCATCACTCAGAAGGGACTGGGAGCCCCACTGTCGAAACAGCACTCTGCCTTTCTCCTTTCCTCATAGCCCCAAGGCCGGAGTTGGCGTAACTTAAAAGCTTCTGTTTGCGTAACTTAAAAGGTGTCAACATATTCCAACTGTGTGCTCTCTCCAAACTTATCTTTGTGCAATGAATACTTTATTGGAAGAAAAGTTGTGATCCCACTAGTTCATTTTGATCTCATCTATTTTAAGATAAATTGTTCTCTTCCAAAAGCTCAGGGCAGTGTCTGAGGATAAAGTCGAGATCTGTTGACTCTGAAATCTCTGCTTTTCACTCCCCTTGTTGATTTCGTGCTGTGTTCTCTCCTCTAGGTAACAGCGACCAGTCAGGATCCCAGGAGAAGCTGCTCGTTGACAGCCAGGGCCTGAGTGGATGCTCACCCCGAGACTCAGGATGCTACGAAAGCAGTGAGAACCTGGAAAACGGTAGTGTCAGCATGAGTTGCTGGGAACCTGCTTTGACAATTACTGATTTCAAAGCATGATTTTCTGCAAAAGGACGATTCTATTCCTATCATGCACTCAGCAATCATCTTTTCCTTTCTGACCTCTATACCATTCTAGTCCAAGTTAGCCTCCCTATCTGTTCTCCTGGCTGCTGGGTGAGGTTAATAAATTCCGTGTAAAATACCTGCAGCCGTAAAACCTAAATTGTGTGTCTCCTATGCCCTTTTCTTTACGCAATAAACACCAACATTGGAGTGTTGGGAGCTATTAGGTCCATGAGGAAAACAGTGTGCCAGGTAGACCATCCATCAGAAGAGGAGTTTTAAGTGGTATGGGGTCAGGTGGGCAAAACGTTACTATGGATGGCTCTGTGGTTTCCTGTTGTGACCCCAGAATTCCCATTGTAGCAAGATGAGAAACAGTGGTAAGAGGCTCACGCTGCCACCGTCACCTAAATCACTGTCAAACTCTTGAAGGCCGTCACAAAAAATGCCTGGGTTCGATAGTTTTTAGCAGCCATTGGAATCCTGTGTAGTAGCCCATGTGTTAAGATGTTTGCTGAGCACCTCCTAAAGCAAACTTTTTAAAACTCCCAGGCTGTACTTTATTAGTGGGTTGTGAAAGCAGTTTAGTGGGTCATGGACAGCAGTTTTGTAAGACAAAATAGAATACAAAATATCAGAGAGCATCCTCTAAGATAAAGGGTTAGTATTGTTAGCACTGTCACTTGTAATCCTTGTTTCAGTTATGTCTGTGTGTGTGTTTGCGCTTGTGTGTGTGCATGTGTGTGTGTACTACATGTTGAATGTAAAATGTATTTCTTACTGGGAATCATGGGAAAAAATAGTTTGAGAGCCATTGTGGGCACCAGAACTAGGGCTAAGGAAAGGAAAGTGGGTGTCTAGGATGCAAACCCTAAGCGTGCTCACTCTCGGGTATCAGCCCTGCACTCATGTGGCTCTGGGCGGTCACCTTCTTAGAGTGTGTCCTCCGGGCACCTTGTTTGCCTCACTCTAATTCCAATTCTAAGAAGCATCTTGGGGCCCTCAGAATTTGAGCCATGACGCCCTCCTATTCTATCAACTTGGGAAGATAGTAGTTCTCCCCAGACTATATATAATATTCAGGTAGCCTGAATATATCAAGACAGGATACAAAACCCACCTAGTATCCCAGTACATCCTCAGTTTCAGTAAATGTCAGAATCCTTGTGTAGCTCATGTAAGTTCTGAAGAATTTTTTTTTTCTCTTAATAACCTTTTCATATCCAAAACTTTCCAGGAAATTAATTTCCCCAACTGTTGGTGATTGGTAAGGATCTCACAGATATCACTGGCAGAATATTTCATGCCCAAATGAATTCATGTGTACCTGCTGAAGAACTAGATGGCTAGCAAACCATACTGTGAACATAAAGTAAATTCAGAGATCTTTCTAATATAATGCGGAATGCAAAAATGGAACTTATATATATAGTTTTATATTGGGAGTTAAGGGAAAAGAAAGTCATATTCCTAAAATTTATGCTAAAGAGGTTCTAATAATTTTCTATTTCAACCTACTTTTAAAATTTGATGCGATTTTTTTTTTTCTGAAGAGGTGTTTCTTCATTTATCTGTGATGATTTTTCTAATAATGAAAAGTAGGACTGGGGTCAATATCTTCAGTAGTAGCACTAGGCTGATGATCTTTATGTAACAACAATAACATCCTACAGATGCGTAGCATTTTGGTGTTTATCATTGTGGAACATACAGGTGGACAGGGTCAAAGCACACAACAAACATGTTATTAACCAAAAATGTAACAAGGGACAGTTAATCTGTGTGTGTGTGTGTGCGCGCGCGCGCGCACACGTGCATGTATGTACTGATGAGAACAAAGCATTCAGCACGCTGCGTGGCCCATGAATAGGCAAAGCGTATCCAACAGCAGAAGTTGAATATCAATTACCAGTCGTCAGATAAGTAGATTATGTCTGGTTGATAGTTCAGTTATCAGTCTGACCGTTGTAACCAGGACTGTTGCTTTGCTGGGACCTAAACCTTTGTCAGTATTTTGTAGATTTTCTTTGGCAAAGTGCTCACATAAGTCTACCTGTCTGTGCCCAGGTTGGTTGACTGTTTCTAGGATACGTTTATTAGAAGGAGGGGCCTCAAGGAAGGTGGGATTTGAGCATTCACTGATCACTCTGTAGGGGATACCATTTCTAGAACCTATTCTGAAATTCAGTCCAGCTCTCCTTTTCCATCATGACCTTGAGAAATTGTGCTCGCCCAACAAATGCCATCAACATGCGGTATGATGATCATCCTCTTTCCACATCAATTGTAGCTGGGCACAGACTTAAGCCAAGATTTATTTTACTGCTTGACACAGCATATTTCTTTCCCATGTAACCCAATTAATTTCAGTCTTCCTGATTTCTTTAATAAGACTAAGAATTCTTTCTAAAAATAAAAATGGAACCATAATAACCCTCTATCACCCAATGTCATAAAGGGTGATTTTGTGTCTTTAGTGTAATTGAACAATAGGATGTGGGAGTTGGAGATTTCAATTATGTTAGCACACCTTTATGCATCTGTTTGATTGATTTGCTTTTAAAATGTGATTGTAAAATGTTCCCTTGTCTCACAGGCAAGACTCGGAAAGCTAGCCTCCTATCTGCCAAGTCATCCGCCGAGCCCAACTTGAAGTCTTTTAGCAGAAACCAGTTGGGCAATTACCCAACATTGCCTTTAACGAAATCAGGGGATGCACTGAAGCAGGGACAGGAGGAGGGCAGGCTGGGTGGTGGCCTCGCCCCAGACATGTCCAAGAGCTGTGACCCACCTGGTGTGACTGGTTTGAATAAAAACCGAAGAAGCCTCCCAGTTTCCATCTGCCGGAGCTGTGAGACCCTCGAGGGCCCCCAGACTGTGGACACTTGGCCTCGATCCCATTCCCTGGATGACCTTCAAGCAGAGTCTGGTGCTGAGCAAGACGTGCCTACCGAGGTGACAGAACCGCCCCCTCAGATTGTACCCAAAGTGCCACAGAAGATGACTGCCTCTTCGACGAAGGCCCAGCCCCTGGAGCGAGACTCTGCTGTCGACAATGCGTTGCTACTGACCCAAAGCAAGAGATTTTCTGAACCTCAGAAATTGACAACTAAGAAACTGGAGGGCTCAATCGCAGCCTCTGGTCGCAGCCTGTCACCCCCTCAGTGTTTGCCCAGAAACTATGATGCTCAGCCTCCTGGAGCTAAACACGGTTTAGCAAGGACACCTCTGGAGGGCCACAGAATAGGACACGAGTTTGAAGGAACACACCATCCCCTGGGCACCAAAGAAGGGGTAGATGCTGAGCAGAGGGTCCCTGAGGCAAGAACGCAGCCCAAAATTCCATCACAGCCTCCACCTGTTCCTGCCAAAAAGAGCAGAGAACGCCTTGCTAATGGACTCTACCCTGTTCCCATGGGCCCCGGTGGGACCCTCCCCAGTCCCGATGCGCCTTGCCTGCCAGTGAAAAGGGGCAGCCCCACCAGCCCCACCAGCCCTAGCGACTGTCCCCCAGCACTGGCTCCCAGGCCTCTCTCAGGGCAGGCGCCTGGCAGCCCACCAAGCACAAGGCCGCCCCCCTGGCTCTCAGAGCTCCCCGAGAACACAAGCCTCCAGGAGCACGGTGTGAAGCTGGGCCCGGCTTTGACCAGGAAGGTCTCTTGTGCCCGGGGAGTGGATCTGGAAATGCTTACTGAAAACAAGCTGCATGCCGAAGGCATCGATCTCACGGAGGAGCCGTATTCTGATAAGGTATCAAAGGTCCTGGGCCCACCACATTCACAGGCCTTTGTAGAAGGCAGGCAGCCAGGTGAGATGAACCCACATCTGAAGCCAGCCCGGTAGCCAGCCCAGTAGCATGGGCCGCTCTGAGAGAGTGGAATGAATGATCCACAGCCAGCAGCTTCTGACGAACAGGGAGCGCAGGCTCCAGATTAAATGAAAATACAGCCTCTCTGGAGTCTTCTTTGTTTCGCTCTTGCTTGTTTCCTTTTAGTTTCTGGCAGCTCTACTTCGCAGGGAGAATCATTAGTACCCAGACTGGCTTCCGAGAAGGATGGTTTAGTGGACAGCAGACACCTGAATCCACGTGTCCACACCGTACTTGACATGCATGTGTTCAGATATTGACACCTTCCCATTTCATCTCTCTGTAGGTAAACCAAGGTTAAAAATAACCTGCATGAAGACCTCTTAGAGGGATTACCAGAAGCAAATAAATGTGGACATACTTTGAAAATTATAGAACCCTATTCAGATGTGATCATTGTATTATAGTTATCTGTATGGGTAGTGGGAAAAAGATAATATAAAATCCCTCATTGTACCAAAATCATTTAGCTCTATAATGAAAAATTATTTCTCATTTAAAAAAAATGAGATCTACCAATACCAAGTGACTCCAAAGACAAAGCGATGCTAAGAGACACAGCTGTACTTTACTCCTGGAAATACAGGTCCTATTAGGATGCATTCCTGAGAGTCCTTTATTATAAAATTCTCGTGACAATGAATGGCTTAGAATAAGATCCTCGTTCACCTCCCTGACCCTCCTTGATATTTCGTGAGTAAATGTCTTTAAATAAAAAGTAGTGAGAATGACCATACAGTAAATGCTGGCCTAGCAAGCTGGTGGTATAACTTGTAGCAGATGAAGCGCAAACAGTTGAATATCTGTAAAGTAGAAGTTAGCCCTTCCCTCCTGCAGTTTAGAAGACTCTCTTCAATAACATTAGAGGAATTGTATTTTGCAAAATGATCCGATTGAGGTGAAGGCATTGTTCTGAAAAGTGTAGAGTAACTGTGTGCTGCCTTAACTGTGCTTCAGAACACGTTCCTAGAGCTCATCAGTACTGTAAGATAAAGATGTAAAAGTATTCTCTCTAAAGCATCTATCCTGGCCAATAAAGAAAATATATTCATTTCAAATTAAAACTTTTGGGTTGGGCGCGGTGGCTTACGCCTGTAATCCCAACACTTTGGGAGGCCAAGGCGAGAAGACCGTTTGAGCCCAGGAGTTTGAGGCTGCAGTGAGCTATGATCACACCACTGCGCTCCAGTCTAAGCGACAGTGAGACCCTACGTTATATGTGGTGTATCTTAGGGAAAGAAAAACAAAATCCTTATACCCTTGATGCCACATTCCTGTTCTCCCTGGCAGCATGGCCGCTGTGGGATTCCTGAAGCCCTGGTGCAGAGATACGCAGAGGACTTGGATCAGCCTGAGAGGGACGTCGCCATCAACATGGACCAGATCCGGGTGAAGCAGCTTCGGAAGCAGCACCGCATGGCGGTGAGCAGCCCACGGTTCTCCAGCTTCCTGAGGCACATTTAGTGATCACGCTTAGTAATGAGCATACTCACAACTGCCAAGTAGACAAGGGCTTGCGTAGCTATGGAAAGGAGACAGCTGGGGAGAAAGTAATACATGGTCAGCCTAGAAATGTTTAAAAATACACTTTCAGAAAGAAAAAAAAATGAAAATTATCTGTAATCCCAACACTGAAAAACTTTTTAAAGATCCGTCTAGTGCTAGGCATGATGGTGCACACCTGTGATCCTAGTTACTCAGGAGGCAGAAGCAGGAGGATTGCTTGAGCCCAGAATTTTGATGCCAGCCTGGGCAACATAGTGAGACCCCATCTCTTAAGAAATAAAATAAAATCCGTCTGAGTGACACAGTTTCAGTTAGAAGCATAACTTTAAGAGATCTATTGTTCGACATGGTGACTACGGTTAATAACAATGTATACTTGAAAATTGCTAGGACAGCAGATTTTAAGCGTTCTCACCACAAAATATAGTGTGTGAGGTAATGCATATGTTAAATAGCTTGATTTAGCCATTCCACAATTATCAAAACACCACGTTTTACACCATAAATATACACAATTTTTACCTGTCCATTAAAATTCTGTCTAATCATTTCTCTGCACATGTATAATAGTAAATGTATAGTATTGAAACCTGATTGTTTGCTATTATCAGATCATGAATCTGTTTCTCTGTTACTTAGAAAAAAAAATTGATATTATCAATACAGTAGTCTCCTCATATCCATGAGGGATATGGTCCAAGACCTCCAAGTGGATCTCTTGAAAGCTTGACAAGTACCAAACCCTGTATATATTATACACAAATTTCTTTTTCCTTCTTCGCAATTTCATGGATATAAGATTCATTTTCACTGTAGATCTTAGGACCCTCAGCACACGATGTTTTTTCCTTTTCTTATTAAGTCAAGAACTCTCACCTTTTTACTTAAAGGAAGCACTTTGAACGTGGCTTCTCATTGCCACATGCAAATGGCCAGCATGTTACTCTTGCACTTTGGGGCCATCATAAGGCCAAATAAGAGTGATTGAACGTGAGTGCTGCAGTCCTGCGACAGTCGATCTGATGGCCACGGGCTACTGAGTGACTGCGGGGCCCAGAGTGTAGACAGTGTGGATTTGCTAGACAAAGGGATGATTGTCAGGTGGGACAGAGCTGGATGGTATGAGATTTCCTCACACTACTCAGAATGACCTGCGACATAAGACTTACACATTGTTTATTTCTGGAATTTCCCATTTAATATTTTCAGGCTGTAGAAGGCAAAACCGTGGATAAGGGGGGATGGCTATTGTATTTCAAAGTATTCTAGTAGGTCAGTGTACTCTAGTATTGAGTCTCATAGTTAAAACATTTAGATTTTTCCAACCTTTTATTTTAAAAAATGTAATGAAGAGCATCCTTGTTAATAAACCTTTGTAGACTTTAAAGGTTAATTTCTGAGTATATATTCCTGGTATAGGGTTTGCTTCATCAAAACTGTATAAAATCCCAAAGATTTTCACCCTTGTCAGCAAATCACCTTTCTGAAAGGTGTAGGCCCTTTATATACCCAGTAGTCAAGGTTAAACATCCATTTCCCTGTTCCAGCCAACCCATGATATTGTATTTTAAATTCTTTATAACCTCATTGACTAAATATGTAATTTTCTGGTTAACATAGATTCAAACTACAGTGGAAAGTCTCCTTTATAAAAACCCTACCCACTGAGTGCTACTTTTCACACGATCACCCAGATTTGTCCCTTCAGACTACCTTAGGGCTCTTGTCAAGAGCATATCCACAGTGAAACAAAATAGCAGAATATGTTAATGCTTACAGTTTGGAGACTTGGATACATAAATGGGATTTGATCTCATTCCAGACACCTTCGAGAACCTTGTGGAACACTTCCTTAAAGATTTGTTTCATCTTAGAGAAGAATTTTTCCTGCTAGTCTTGATCTCTGACACTCACTACATTGTTGCTTTCTGATAATAGTCTAGCAATGCAGTATTTCAGTGCTGTTCCTTTTAGACATACACGAAGCAGTCCTCCGATGACACATGAAGCGTTTCTATCATATATTGCTTTCTTAATTTATCCAGATTCCAAGTGGTGGACTCACGGAAATCTGCCGAAAGCCCGTCTCTCCTGGATGCATTTCGTCTGTGTCAGATTGGCTCATTTCCATCGGTCTGCCCATGTATGCCAGCACCCTCTCCACCGCGGGCTTCAGCACACTGAGCCAGGTGCCTTCTCTGTCCCACACTTGCCTTCAGGAGGCCGGCATCACAGAGGAGAGACACATAAGAAAGCTCCTATCTGCAGCCAGACTCTTCAAACTGCCGCCAGGCCCCGAGGCCATGTAGCCAGGCCCAGAATGGGCTTCTCTGGACAAGAGCCACCCTTTCACTGTGCATATGATGCTGATGCAATTCCTCCATCTCTGGACGTGCAGACCAGATCCAGAAGAAAAGCCTGGCGTGCAGCCAAACAGCGTGAAACCTTGGCACAGGACTGAGGATCCTCTCCTCCAGAAAAGCCCCCTCAAGGAAATTAGTGCGGTTCTCTTTGACCTCCAAAGACAAGACAAGCACTTATTTTTATTTTCAGAAGACGAAAGAACCAAGATGCCAACTGGCTGCGAATGCTGTGTCTCCAGTGCTGGTAGAGGCTGGGAGGAGTGGGGGCAGCCTGTTCCATTTCTGATAGTACCCTTGCCCTTCTGTCTGTCATCTTGCAGGATGCCCGAGGGCCAGACGGGCTTAGCTAGGCCAAAGGAACAGACTTGAGAGTTATTGTACATTACTGACCACGCTCATTTGTTCAAAAGTTAGAACATCTGGCTGCACCAGGAAAAAAAAGTCCTGTTCTTCTTTAGATAAACAAGAGACATTTTCATAATTGCTTTCTAGCAATCAGCTTTTATTTGCCTTAATATAAGCTTTTAAGCAGTTATCTAACTAGTGTCCACAACCCTGTAACCATAGTAGTTCCACATCTTCAGCTTCAGCGGACATCTAACCTCTCTGGGATGTTTCCAGCAAAAGTGGGCTTTTCTAATCGTCTCATTTTAACATGGCTTATTTTGTAGAGGTATTCATCAGCCACACACTTCATGTTGGTTTTTGGTTTTTAAGCTAACTACAAATCTAGTACAAAACTATCTGAAATTCACAAAGATATCATGTGTGTGTGCGTGCATGCGTGCGTGTGTGTGTCTGTATTCATAGTAACTGCTTTTTGTTTTAACCAGTTTAGTATCGTTACCATTACTGTGTGAGTCGTTGTGCTGCAGTATTGACTTGGAATCCTGACCATGTCCATCCCAAAATTCAGTCCTCAGTTAATGGATCATCTTTGCAAAAGGTCACTGTGAGGTTGCATATTTCAGGAACATGTTCTTAAAAAGGGAAATCATTTATAAGATGTTTTCTAAGACTTTTCAGTATTACAACTAATACCATTATCCTTCTTTTTTTATTTAGGTAATTCTTTTAATTTAAACAAAGGTTCAGTATGGAGCCAGACAAACCACATTAGCCATGTGTTAAGTATTTGCTACTTTAAATTGTTTTACAACTGATTTCAGCACATTCTATCTTCTTTTTTTTTTTTTTTTTTTTTTTTTTTTTGAGATGGAGTTTCGCTCTTGTTGCCCAGGCTGGAATGCAGTGGCACAATCTTGGCTCCCTGCAACCTCAGTCTCCCAGGTTCAAGTGATTCTCCTGCCTCAGCCTCCCAAATAGCTGGGATTACAGGCACCCACAACCATGCCCAGCTAATTTTTGTATTATTAGTAGATACGGGGTTTCACCATGTTGGCCAGGCTGGTCTTGAACTCCTGACTTCAGGTGGTCCACTTGCCTCGGCCTCCCAAAGTGCTGGGATTACAGGTGGGAGCCACCACGCCTGGCCTCTAACCTCTTTTAGTCTAGTGTCTGGTTTTCTAGCAAACAGTAAATTTTAACAAACTATTAAGGTTTCCATTGCTTACAAAATGATTTTCCTTTACATTCTTATCATGAACACTATTTTAAGCATCAAATGCAATCATCTAAAATATAAAGGGCAATCATTTATAATATAAACACCTTGACCACAAGCCCTTGATTGAAAGTTTTATAATATTTCATCTACTTATTAAAACAAATAATTTCCCTTGGGTTGGAGGGGAAGTGATTTCATAAATTAGCCATCTTTAGCATATTGCTTATGTCTGGATCCATGTTTCTGAGGGAAAAGACATTCTCAGCTGATGTATTTTTTTCATGCATTAGTATGCATTTTTAAAAAAGAATGCATGTTTCTTTAATAATTTTCATCTTCTATAAGATGCCATGTGAAGAAGTTGTGGAAATGTAGAATAAAAAGCTAAAGCTGCCAAATTTCTATTGAACTCTTAAAAACGGCTCATGTTTGTCCTCTCGGGTTGTGGCCTAGCCTATTTGCAATGTAAAAAGCTGCAGGGTTCTCGTATAGCTAAAGCGTTAATGCATTTCACGTGCTGTGGTGGAGGCGGGTGCTGCAGACAGGCTTTTCTTCCTGCTCCCAAAATACCTCGGCTGGACATTTGGACAGATCCTGTCATTGTTTAAGCTGAGCAAAAAAACACACAAAAGTTGTGTAAGAGACAACAAAGGAGAGGGAGAAATCTCATGTGAATTTCCAAGTTTTAATTCATTCTCAATGAAGGATTTTCATTTAAGTGAAAGTCACAGCAGAAGAGGGAACTTTCTGGAGTTTTTTGAGAATGCCAAACCATATTTTTATCACTCTTCTTTGGAAATCAATGCCTTTGCATAGAAAATCAAATTCAGGGACCACAAAGAATTTTCAGTGGGAATGTCTAGTCTGAGGGGTCTGAGGTTGTTTTTACTTTATTGTGTTGTTTAAATATTTTAAAAATATATTTAGCGTTTGGTCTTTTTTTTTTCTTTAAGCATTTAATTTGGTCTGAGAAAAGCTGAATGTTTGGGTGTGACGTTTGACTGAGGTGGATTGAGGCTGCCTGTGGATGTTAGTGAACAGGTGGTAGGCTTCGGCAATATCCAGTTTTAATCAGTTGCATTTGGTACAGAATTTTGAGTAATGGTGAAAATTGTTGTCTTTGGAAAGCACAAAAAAAACGTGGAAAGGCAGTTCGGCTCAGGTAGCTACACATACCATTGTGTATGATTCTCACTTCAAAGCTGTCTGGAAGGAAATGCAGTCAGCTCCAACTAGTACTATTTACGTACCCAGATAACTAAGATATTGTTTCATGGCCTTGCCTTAGTTAGAGGCCCTTTTCTCTGTCCTGAACCCCCAGGTATGGGTGAAATTGGAAATTACTAATCTATTGGAAATCAGTTCCTGACATAGTAAAGTTTGCTTTCATAACTGCAGCAAAAGAGGTCAGCTCACCAAGTCACTGCTGCCATGTGTGTACTGTATTATTTTCAGAAAAAAATAGAATAGTCTGAGTCCAAGTTATCTTGATTTAAAATTGATAGAGAAAAGAAACTGTCGAGCAAGTTATATAACAACTAACAACATTGCACTTTCTGTATATGAAATCAATATTTAAATAACTTATTTTTCTCCATTGCTGTTCTTAAAAACATTGTAAGTAGCTGTAATATACCAGTACCAATATGTTCTTGCAATTGCTTCAGCCCAAGAAAGCTGTGTATTGTTTTAAAAATTGTAAAAATTATTGTGATGATTCATTTAGCATAAAGAGAGGTGGACAGAGGGTTTTCCTATGTATCAAAACTTGTCTATAATTATGTCATCTATGTACCTAGAAAAAAAGTAAATAAATTTCTTCAGTTGAATATGCCTTTTTTGTTGTTTCTTGGGTATTTTAAAGGTGAATGGAGTAGAAATGAAAGGGAATTTATAAAGTGGTCAAACGATGAAATATATTGGGAAAATTGTAGTTGTCTACAATTCTGCCATCACCAGAACTCACCCTCTGACATCCACCCAGATTCTCTTTGTCACTTTATTGCTTTATTTTCAAATATGCATGATCAAGTTATATAATGATAGCACCTTAGACCAGCAAGATATTTTTTGGAATTCATCTTGAGTCTAAGATCATCACTTTCAAATGAAGAATCTGAGTCCACATGGATGACTGACTTGCTCAGTATTATACACTTAAATGACAACACCACCCACATCTTCTGCTGAGAAAGAGAGAAAAAAACAAGTCTAGGTCTGGATAGTCTAGAAATTAATCAACTTGACAATAATGCATTTTTAACTTCAGTGTACCACAATTGATACAAAGGCACATTTTTAATAGAGAGAAGAGGGTGTTTGTAATAAAAAATTTTGAGAGGTAATGTATGCATTTGAGAAACAATTTAAAAAATTACCCTCTTCTTCCCCCTAGCCATCTCATTCCTCACTACAGGCGACCTGCTATAACTAGTGTTGGTCCATCTTTTCAGAGAAACTCTTCTGTATTTATAAATATAATTGCATATGTATTTCTCCATACAGAAATGAGAGCAGATTTTTCATGCTATTCACCGTACTTTTAAATTAATACATCTTGGAGGTCCTCCCATGTCAACACTCTCCCACTCCCTTAAAGGCTGGATAGTATTCTATTATGCAGGTCATTTATTTAACCGGTACTCTATGAAAGTGCAACCATTTGCTGTTGTAGAAGAAAAAGCTATTGTGGATATCCCTATACCTATATCACTTAGCATGTAGAATTGCTGTATTAAAGTTATGTGTGTGTTTTAAATTTTGATAGAATAAGGTGGGTTTCATTAAAGGAAGCTTAATGTAGGTTCCACTTTTTTTTTTTTTTTTCTTCAGAGGGAATTTTGCTCTTGTTGCCTGGTCTGGAGTGCAGTGGCGTGATCTCAGCTCACTGCAACCTCCACCTCCCGGGTTCAAGCGATTCTTCTGCCTCAGCCTCCCGAGTGGCTGGGATTACAGGCGTGCACCACCACACCCGGCTAATTTTTTTTTTTTTTTTTTTTTTTTTTTTTGTATTTTTAGTAGAGACGGGGTTTCTCCACGTTGGTCAGGCTGGTCTCGAACTCCCGACCTCAGGTGATCCACCTGCCTTGGCCTCCCAAAGTGCTGGGATTACAAGCATGAGCTACCCCGCCTGGCCCAATTTTAAATCATCTTACTCACAACTCCTCTAACCCATTTTGTGAACGGGGATATTTCATGTCTTCTAGGAGTGGGTGTTCACCTGACTCTGCTGCATCATTTTAAAGAACTAACCATAAACCTCAAATCTTCCCAATCCCCCGCTAAATCCTAAGAGTCAATATTTCAAAGAAGATGCTCTTTTTCTTGTGATTCCTAGGAAACCCTTGCCAGAGTCTTGATGTTTCCTGTAACCTCTCTGCGTATGTAGGTATCTGTGATGTATTTGCTTATAAAGAACATTAATTTGATTAGGGAAAGAAGAAAAGAGAAGGGCGTTGGTTGTCATTGTTCAACCACACAATTCATTTTGGAACCCTTAGAATGCTGACTGTCTTTACTCTTAGCCACGAGGACCCTCTCAGAGCAAACTATGTACACTGCACTTCCCAGAACTTAGAGTGTGTGTGAGTGTGTCTGTGTCTGTGAGAGAGAGAAAGGGAGGAGGGAGAGAGGACGAGAAGATGAATGCTCATTCAGGTCTAGGTCTGGACCACTCATCAGAGAACCATGGGCACCATTATTTGGAAATATTACAATTCCCAATACAGTGCCCTCTCACATGACCTCAAAGAAGAATGCTCTGAAAAGGGTATTAAGCTGTCACCTTCTGCACACTGTAACAAAAACCCCAGAAGACCCTAACCAAACTGAGTTTGAATTCAATCTGGAAGGATCCCAGGGTACTTGTGTGAGAGCTACAGCAGTTAAGACTAATCTGGTTGGATTTTACCACCATCCGCATTCATCCTCAATGGCCTTTCCCCAAAACTTGGATAATGAATATGGTTGGAGCCATAAGAGAGACGTGTACAAAGGGTTGTGGGAACTAGAGGGAGGATGGATTCGGCTTGGGGAGAGAGAGGGCCAGAGGAGGTGGTTGTGTGGATAACAGTGTGCCACGTGCTAAGCATCAGACTTGATTAGGAAGTCTTGGAAATAACAAAAGTCTTGGAAATAACAAGGAAATAATTAATGAATATCCTCTGTGTCTCCAAACTCCTGATCCACCTCAGCCTGACTGAGTCTCTTCCCACTTCATAGAACAATGGAAATCATCCACTGGGCCTCGCTTGCAAACTCCCCGGCATCCTCTTCTCATCGTTCCTCGTGGCTCCTGCCGTGACCAAGGAGGTGTTTCTCTATTCATCTAACCCTACTTGAGCTCAGGATGCTGTCTTGGGACTCCCAGCCCCTCATTCACTCCCTCGCTTCTCTGTACCTTCCCCTGGAACATGCTTGCGGCAGGTGGTGCTGTGCTCTCCAGGCCAGCCCATAGTCCTCTATTTTGATATTTGCACTCTCCCTTGGGGAAGACTGCCCTCCCCACATCTCAAGTTGTTCCTGGCACCACTTTCCCGTCATGTGTCCCTATCCTTCTCCAAGCAGAGCACAACGCTTGCCGGGCTAGAACAGTGTTCACCGTTCTTTCCTTTGAAAAATTATCTCTCGAACTCACATTTGCCTTGTCTAGATAATCCAGTCTCTTGCTTTTCACAGCCAAATATCTTAAATGATATTTCTGTCCATTGTCTCTTCTTCCTTATCCTCCATATATTCCTCAGCCCACTGCTCCCTGGCTGTAACTAAGGCCATGAACGGAAGCAACATGGCTAAATCCAGTGCGGCCTCCCCAGCTTCCACTTGCTTGTCTCCTCTGCAGCGTTGCATGGGGCTGCGCTTTGCTCCCACGTCCAATTCTCGATCATCCCTGCTCCGCTCTTGCCCTCTCCCATCTCAACAGCCACTGCCTCTCGGCACCCTTGGCAGCCTCTTTCTCTGGCCACCCTTTGAATGTTCAGGGGCCTCAGACATCCATCCCAGGGCCTCTTCTTGCCCTTGGTGATCTCCTCTTTGTGGTTGACTTTTCATCTCCAAGAGTTAGTTTAGAATAAAAGAAGCAATCCCGGAAATCTGTCACTTAAGAAGAAATGTAGCACTTCTGTCTAAGAGGATGCTGATTGCAGTGAGAACAACCCTCATGGTAAGATGCTGCCCCAGCTATTTGCTTGTTAGACTACCTGTGCATCCTCAAGCACCAGCTCAGTTTTGGTCATTGTTGCAGTGTCCCTGAGCTGGGTTTAGTATCTGGTCTCCAGAATAATTCCAAAGGAAAAAAATCAGAGGCTGTATTCTGCTGTGCAGGCAACATATGATTCTATAATTTCTGGTATTCGGGACCACCTTCTGGTCTTGGGGAGTCAGTTCTATAGTTTCTGTGGCACTGGAAGGCTGACACCCAAAATGTCCCCTAGACCTTTACTGGCCAGTCCAAGTATGCAACACAAATTGTCCTCCAATGGGTAGAAAGCAAGGAAAGAGTGGTGAGATCAGCTATTTACCGGGCAAATCACTATACTGAGTGCCTGAGGCAATTTATACACTTTATTCATTCAATAAACACTAAGTGGACATTTATTCTCATCCCTGTTTGACCAGTGTAGAGTCCATGAGCACAGGGACTTTGCTTTGCCTATTTTTTCAATCCCAGCACCCGGTACAGTGCCTGACACAGGAGGAGCTGAAAAAATAAATATTGAATAACAAGGTTCAAAGAAGCTAAGACTTTGTTTCAGGCTGACGTAGCCAGTAAGTAACACGACAGATATTTGAACACAAATCCACCTGACTCTAGAACCCATGTTTTTATAGGATGATAATTGTTTCCAGCAACAAGTCTCCCCTGAATCTCCTGAACTTTGCACATTCACTTCTCTCTCGTCACAAATAGATGTCTTAAACTTTATCAACATGTCCCAAATGAAATGTCTGGCCCCCCTGCAGACCTCTGCCCCACCCTTGTCAATTTCCCCTCTCAATAACGGCTTCCAGTTACTTCGTTCAGATTTAAACATCCTTTACTTCTTTTTTCTTTCACATTCTGCATTCAACCTGCCAGGAAATCCTGTGGTCTCTGCTTTCAAAGTCTATCCAGAATCTGACTATTCCTCACCGTCTCCACTACTACCATAGCAGCCCAAGCCACAGCCACCACCCTCTCCTCGATGCTCGCTGTGGTTTCCCGCTCTTCCTGCCCCCATCTCCGCCAGCCCTTGTGATCTAGCTCATACAGTAGCCTGGGTGACCTTGTTAAGGGCTGAACACTTGAATCTTCCCCAGATTCATATGTTGAAGCCCCAATCTCCAGTGTGATGGTATTTGGAGGTGGGGCCTTTAGGAGATTATTAGATTTGGATGAGGTTACACAGCTGGAGCCGCATGATGGGATTAATGCCCTTATGGGAAGAGGAAGAAGACACCAGGCCTTGCTGTCTTTATCTACCATGTGAAGACACAGTGGGCAGGTGGCCAGCCATGAGCAAGCCAGAGAGAGGACCCTCACCGGACTTTCTTTTTTCTTCAGATGGAGTCTCGCTCTGTCGCCAGGCTGGAGTACAGTGGTGTGATCTCGGCTCACTGCCACCTCCACCTCCTGGGTTCAAGCAATTTTCCTGCCTCAGCCTCCGGAGTAGCTGGGACTACAGGCACATGCCACCACACCCAGCTAATTTTTGTATTTTTAGTAGAGATGGGGTTTCACTGTATTGGCCAGGCTGGTCTCGAACTCCTGACCTAGTGATCCACCCACCTCAGCCTCCCAAAGTGCTGGGGTTACAGGCGTTAGTCACAGTTCCCGGCCTCTTCACTGGACTTCC